TCTCATACCCCAGTGGCACCTGGAATGCCAGCAAGACAGGACCGCTCATTCCCCTGAAAAAAAGGGGACTGAAGCCAACAAGCCAAGTGATCTGGCTCTGCGGGTCCCACACCCACAAAGACCAGCAAGCTAAGATCCACTAGCTTGAAATTCTCACAGCAAGCACAGCAGTCTTGAGCTCCATCCAGGAAGCTCGAGCTCAGGGTGGGGAGGGACATCTGCCATTACTGAGGCTCAGGTGGGCGGTCCTAACCTGCCTGTGTAAACAAAGGCTCCGGGAATTTTATACAGCAACTGGGTGGAGCCCAGCTCTGATAAGGGACACCACAGCAAGGCCTCTACAGGCAGACTGTGAATAGACCCCTTTCTTGCTGAGCAGGAAATCTCTGAAAAAAGGCAGCAGCCCATCAGGGACTTATAAATAAAGTCCCCCCTTCCTGGGACAGAGCATCTCAGAAAAAGGGTGGTTGTGGGATCTTCTTCAGCAGACTTAAACATCCCTGCCCAGCACCTCTGAAGGGAGCAACAGATCTCCCAGCACAGCACTTGAGCTCTGATAAGGGACAGACTGCCTCCTCAAGTGGCTCCCTGACCCCCATTTATCTTAAGAGACACCTCATACAGGCAAGCTCTGGCTGACATCTGGCAGGTACCCTTCTGGGATGAAGCAGCAATTTTTGCTGTTCTGCAGCCCCCACAGGTGATTCCCAGGCAAGCAGGATCTGGAGTGGACCTCCAGCAGACCTGGAGAAGAGGGGCCTGACTGTTAGAAGGAAAACTAACAGAAAGAAGTAGCTTCAGCATCAACAGAAAGGATGCCCACTCAGAGATCCCATCCAAAAGTCACCAACTTCGAAGACCAAAGGTAGATAAATCCATGAAGATAGGAAGAAACCAGCACAAAAAGGCTGAAATTGCCAAAAACCAGAATGCCTCTTCTCCTCCAAGAGATCACAACTCCTCACCAGCAAGGGAACAAAACTGGATGGAGAATGAGTTTGACAAATTGACAGAAGCAGGCAAATTGACAGAAGGTGAGGAATAACAAGCTTCTCTGAGCTAAAGGAACATGTTCTAACCCAATGAAAGGAAACTAGGAACCTTGAAAAAAGGTTAGACGAAATGCTAACTAGAATAACAAGCATAGAGAAGAACATAAACAATTTGGTGGAGCTGAAAAACATAGCACAAGAACTTCATGAAACATACACAAGTTTAAATAGCTGAATCGATCAAGCAGAAGAAAGGATATCAGAGACTGAAGATCAACTCAATGAAATAAAGTGAGAAGGCAAGATTAGAGAAAAAAAGAGTGAAAAGAAATGAAGAAAGCCTTCAAGAAATATGGGATTACGTGAAAAGACCAAATCTACATTTGATTGATGTACCTGAATGTGACAGGAAGAATGAAACCAAGTTGGAAAACATACTTCAGGATATTACTCAGGAGAACTTCCCCAATCTAGCAAGGCAGGCCAACATTCAAATTCAGGAAATATACAAAGGCCACCATACTCCTCGAGAACAGCAACCCCAAGGCACATAATCGTCAGATTCACCATGGTTAAAATGAAGGAAAAAAATGCTAAGGGCAGCTAGAGAAAAAGGTCAATAAATCCAGGAGCCAGTTCTTTGAAAAGATCAACAAAGTAGACAGATTGCTAGCCAGACTAATAAAAAAGAAGAGAAGAATCAAATAGATGCAATAAAAAATGATAAAGGGGATATCACCACCAATCCCACAGAAATACAAGCTACCATCAGAGATTACTACAAACACCTCTATGCACATAAACCAGTAAATCTAGAAGAAATAGATAAATTCCTGGACACTTAAATGCTCCCAAGACTAAACCAGGAAGAAGTTGAATCCCTGAATAGACCAATAACAAGGTCTGAAATTAAGACAGCAATTAATAGCCTACCAACCAAAAAAAGTCTAGGACCAGATAGGTTCATAGCCGAATTCTACCAGAGATACAAACAGGAGCTGGTACCATTCCTTCTGAAACTATTCCAAACAATACAAAAAGAGAGAATCATCCCTGACTCATTTTATGAGACCAACATAATTCTGATATCAAAACCTGGCAGCAACTCAACTAAAAAAGAAAATTTCAGGCCAATATCCATGATGAACATTGATGCAAAAATCCTCAGTAAAATACTGGCAAACCCAATCCAACAGCACGTTAAGAAGCTTATCACGATCAAGTTGGCTTCATCCCTGGGATGCAAGGCTGGTTCAACATATGCAAATGTATAAATATAATCCATCACATAAACGGAACCAAAGATAAAAACCACATGATTATCTGAACAGATGCAGAGAAGGCCTTCAACAAAATTCAACAGCCCTTTACGCTAAAAACGCATAAAGTAGGTGTTGATGGAATGTATCTCAAAGTAATAAGCTGTTTATGACAAACCCACAGCCAATATCATACTGAATGGGTGAAAACTGGCACAAGACAAGGATGCCCTCTCTCGCCACTCCTATTCAACATAGTATTGGAAGCTCTGGACAGGGAAATCAGGCAAGAAAAGGAAAACAAAAAGAGGTATTAAATTAGGGAAAGAGGAAGTCAAATTGTTTCTATTTGCAGACGACATGATTGTATATTTAGAAGACTCAGTCAACTCAGCACAAAAATCTCCTTAAGCTGATAAGCAACTTCAGCAGTCTCAGGATACAAAAATCAATGTGCAAAAATCACAAGCATTCCTATACACCAATAACAGACAGCCAAATCATGAGTGAACTCCCATTCACAATTGCTACGAAGAGAATAAAATGCTGAGGAATACAACTAACAAGGAACATAAAGGACCTCTTCAAGGAGAACTACAAACCATTGCTCAAGGAAATAAGAGGGACACAAACAGATAGAAAAAACATTCCATGCTCATGGTTAGGGAGAATCAATATTGTGAAAATGGCCATACTGCCGAAAGTAACTTAATAGATTCAGTGCTGTTCCCATCAAGCTACCATTGACTTTCTTCACAGAATTGGAAAAAAACACCTTAAACTTCATATGGAAGCAAAAAAGAGCCCACATAGCCAAGACAATCCTAAGCAAAAAAAAAAAAACAAAGCTGGATTCATCATGCTACCTGACTTGAAACTATACTACAAGGCTACAGTAATCAAAACAGCATGGTACTGGTACCAAAACAGAGATAAAAACCAATGGAACAGACCAGAGGCCTCAGAAGTAACACTACACATCTACAACCATCTGATCTTTGACAAACCTGACAAAAACAAGCAATGGGGAAAGGATTCCCTAGTTAATAGTGTTGGGAAACACTGGCTAGCCATACGCAGAAAGCTGAAACTGGACCCTTCCTTACACCTTACACAAAAACTAACTCTAGATGGATTAACAATTTAAACATAAGACCTAACACCATAGGAACCCTAGAAGAAACCCTAGGCAGTACCATTCAGGACATATGTGTAGGCAGGGACTTCATGACTAAAACACCAAAAGCAATGGCAACAAAAGCCAAAATAGACAAATAGGATCTAGTTAAACTTAAGAGCTTCTGCACACCGAAAGAAAATATAACATTAGAGTGAACCAGCAACCAACAGAATGGGAAAAAATTTTGCAATCTACCCATCTGATGAAGGGCTAATATTCAGAATCTACAAAGAACTTAAATATTTATAAGATAAAAACAACCCCATCAAAAAGTGGGCAAAGGGTATGAACAGACACTTCTCAAAAGAAGACACTTATGCAGCCAACAAACATGAAAAAAACCCCATCGTCACTGGTCAGTAGAGAAGTGCAAATCAAAACCATAGTGAGATACCATCTCATGCCAGTTAGAATGGGAATCATTAAAGAATCAGGAGACAACAGATGCTGGAGAGGATGTGGAGAAATAAGAATGCTTTTACATTGTTGGTGGGAGTGTAAATTAGTTCAACCATTGTGGAAGACAGTGTGGCAATTCCTCAAGGATCTAGAACTAGAAATATCATTTGATCCAGCAATCCCATTACTGGGTATATACCCAAAGGATTATAAATCATTCTGTTAATAAAGACACATGACACATACGTTCATTGCTGCACTGTTTACAACAGCAAAGACTTGGAAGCAACCCAAATGCCCATCAATGATAGACTGGATAAATAAAATGTGGCACATATACACCATGGAATACTATGCAGCCATAAAAAACAATGAGTTCATGTCCTTTGCAAGGACATGGATCATTCTCAGCAAACTGACACAAGAACAGAAAACCAAACACTGCATGTTCTCACTCATAAGTGGGTGTTGAACAGTGAGAACACATGGACACAGGGAGGGGAACATCACACACTGGGGCCTGTTGGGGGTGGGGGGCTAGGGGAGGGATAGCAGGGAGTGGGGGGATTAGGGAGGTATAACATTAGGAGAAATACCTAATGTAGATGACGGGGGCATGGATATAGCAAAACACCATGGCATGTGTATACCTATGTAGCAAACCTGTGCTTTCTGCACATGTACCCCAGACCTTAAAGTATAAAAAAAAAGAAATAATTAAAAAAAAGAATCTCCGTTCCTCAGGCTGGTCACTGTGGCTCATGCCTATAATCCTAGCACTTTGGGATGCTGAAGTCGGCATATCACTTGAGATAAGGGTTTTGAGACCAGCCCGGACAACATGGTGAAACCCTGTCTCTACTAAAAATACAAAAATTAGCTAGGCATGGTGGTGCATGCCTGTAGTCCCAGCTATTCAGGAGGCTGAGGCAGGAGAATCGCTTGAACTCAGGAGGTCAAGGTTGCAGTGAGCGAAGATCACACCAGTGCACTCCAGCCTGGGTGACAGAGCAAGCAAGACTCCACTTCAGTAAAACAAAAAACAAAAAAAAAAAGAAAGAAAAAGAAATCTCAGCTTCTAAAAAAGGCCTCTCCTGTTTCCAAATTAGGTTGAGTCCTTCTGCTATATGCAAGGAGAAGGGAGAAGAATGGAGGAGAACTGGGCAGAAGCTATACACATATTGGCCAAGAACTTCCCAAAACTGATAAAAGACATCAGGCACAAAACCAATCAATTCTACAAACCACCAGCAGAGTAAATACAAAGGAAATCCACTAGGACATGTTAGAGTACGCCTACTGCTGTTGTTTGCTCAGGTGGCCATTAAGAAAATGCCCTAAAATGTCCTGTCTCCACATACAATCACATTGTGGGTTAGGGCTTCAACACATGGATTCTGGGGCGTACACAAGTTCATAGCAACTGCCACCAAAGAAAACAAAGAAAAGCCACCAAAGGAGGGGGGAAAAGATAATCCCTCCCCTTCAAGAGCACAACAAAAAGACTGACAGCTTCCTAAACAAAAGATATGATGGAAGCTAGAAATGTGAGAGAAACTTAAGTGCCAAAAATAAAATTCTATACTCACTGAAAAAATATATTTCAAAAGCAAAGTAAAAGACATTTCTAGGGCAGGCATGATGGCTTACACCTATAATCCCAACACTTTGGTAGGCTGAGGAGGGCAGGTCACTTGAGGTCAGGAATTTGAGACTAACCTGGCCAATATGGTGAAACCTTGTGTCCACTAAAAATACAAAAATTAGCCAGGGGTGGTGGCGCACACCTGTAATCCCAGCTACTTGGGGGGCTGAAGCAGGAGAATCACTTGAACCCAGGAGTGGGGAGGTTGCAGTAAGCCGAGATCATGCTACTGCACTCCAGCCTGGGCAACAAGAGCAAACTTCCGTCTCAAACAAAATTCATTGAGCAGTACACGTATGATTTTTGCACTTTTCTGTGTGTATATTCATCTTCAGTTTTACAAGAGAGTACTTAGGAGGTTATGCGGCCAGGAGTCTGAAACACCAGGTGACAAGAACACAGATGGGAGGGCTTGTATATCTGCAAATGGGAGACCTTTTTGTACTTTCAAATCTGACCAGAATGCACCTAAATCCACAGAAGGACACTAGAGGGAACAGTATGATAGTGAAAATGAGGAAGTGGGTTGAAAATTTCTAGAGGGGCAAATGCTTTTATAGACACGTTGCAGCAGACAGCTTGACTATACCACTAGCTTCCATGCAAGCTGAAACACTTTAGCTCACCAATTTCCACCACACTGTCATCGTTCAAAGTCTAGAAAAATGAGAGGACTCGGAGACAGTGAAGCTGCTGACACTGCTGGATGTTTGGTCAGTCGATGTAGTTTATCCCCAGGAGGTAGGATCAATTCTTCCAGATTATTAAAAGGACCTAAACCGTAGGCTATCAGAAAAGACCAAAAAGCTATTCTCTTTGTACTTTTTGTTTCTTTGCAACAGTAATCTGAAACTCATGTGAGGTGTAAACATCATGCGCTGTCCAGGAAGCTCCATGGGGCATAGAGGCTATTCCTGTCACTCTCCAAGGGCAAGAGAAGGGTCAGCACACGCTTCTGGCCTCCTCGCTACCTCCATACAAATCCCCCACCACCCTCTACCAGTCAATCTCTCCTGCACTGAAATCCAGGCTGCCAATTAGATCTCCATTTCATCGTTTAGAACGAAGCTTTTCCTGACCTGCAGGTTCCTCTCCCAGCTCTACAGTGGCCTCCCTTCCCATCCCACCTCCCGCTGTCATCTTCAGTGATTCTGCACTTCCCTCCCGGCCCTAAAGCCTTATAGTCCACCACTCTTAGAACCTTCCTTTTCACTTTCACTTCTTCCTAGTATGGCACACTATAGATCACTTGATCACTAGAAAGTTCTCAACTTCTGAGGCCTGATGCATGCAAATATATTGAGTCCTTTCTAGCATAAAACAATGTCCCAGCCTTACTGTTTTCTTTCCCTGTCCCAGTTCTTGCATCAGCCAATTCTGCAAGGATCCTTGTTCCTTTAAGGAAGGACCGGATTTAGAAATCAACATCTGGGTACTTGGTATGTTCATTATTACTGCAGTGCCTTCTAGTCTCTCCATTGACTGAGCTGAGAAATATGTATGTGTGTGTGTACAGACATGTGGAGATCAATGCATATACACAGAGACCTCTGTTTATGTATGTTCATGGTTTAAAAGCCATGAGGCCAGACCAATATTTCCGATTCTAATCCAGCACCTCAAAGCTCTTTCTAGCCTCACCTTTCAATATTTGTAAATTCCTTTTCCAACTTGAAGAAATCTCTCATTATACTCACTGTTATTTTGTTTGTTTTTAAGACGGAGTCTTGCGCTGTCACCCAGGCTGGAGTACAGTGGCATGATCTTGGCTCACTGCAACCTCTGCCTCCCAGGTTCAAGAGATTCTCCTGCCTCAGCTTCCCAAGTAGCTGGGATTACAGGCATTGGCCACCACGCCCAGCTAATTTTTGTATTTTTAGTAGAGATGGGATTTCACTATGTTGGCCAGGCTGGTCTTGAACTCCTGACCTCAGGTGATCCTCCCACTTCAGCCTCCCAAAGTGCTGGGATTACAGGTTGTGCCACTGCGCCTGGCAATACTCACTGTATTATTTGCTTAATTAACCTGTGATATATGCCAGCCATCTCCTTGGTCCTGATTTTACCTCTGCCGCCTCAGCCCCTACCCACCTAGCTGCCTCCAAAGGAAGGGAGGAGAAGAGGAGGATCCTGGCAATCCTTATGCATGCTTATGTTTGAGACGCACAGCTCTGCAGTCCCTATCTCCACTGCCTCCCTTTATATTTTTTTCTGTTAGAATGTTTTCCATGAGCATACATTACTTTCATAATCATTTTTTAAAAATCAAAACATATTTAAATTCTATAGCTATCATTTTATGAAATATAGTTTTCATATATTGAGTTTTCTTAACCTTAAAAGATAGATTTTGGCCAGGCACATGGCTCACACCTGTAATCACAGCACTTTGGGAGGCCGAGGTGAGTGGATCACCTGAGGTCAGGAGTGCAAGAACTGCCTGGCCAATATAGTGAAACTCTGTCTCTACTAAAAATACAAAAAGCTAGCTGAGCGTTATGGTAGGCACCTGTAATTCCAGATAATTGGGAGGCTGAGGCAAAAGAATCACTTGAACCCAGGAGGTAGAGGTTGCAGTGAGTCAAGATGGCGCCATTACACTCCAGCCTGGGCAACAAGAGTAAAACTCTGTTGAAAAAAAAAAAAAGATTTTTACTTATATTTCAGTAACCATTGAAACAATGAGGTCTCATTTGAAACAGATACCTGACAATGAAATTGCTGAGTGCTATAATGACTAAATATGCATTCTAAGAAGTCATTCTGCTTTGAGGCCGGGCTCAGTGGCTCAAACCTGTAATCCCAGGATTTTGGGAGGCCAAGGCAAACAGATCACCTGAGGTCAGGAGTTCAAGACGAGGTTGGCCAACGTGGTAAAACCCTGTCTCTACTAAAAATACAAAAATTAGCTGGATGTGGTGGTGGGTGCCCGTAATCCCAGCTACTCAGGAGGCTGAGGCATGAGAGTTGCTTGAACCTGGGAGGCAGAGGTTGCAGTGAGCTGAGATTGCACCACTGCACTGCACTGCACTCCAGCCTCGGTGACAGAGTAAGATTTCATCTCGAAAAAAAAGTCATTCTGCTTTGAAATCAAGTCTGGAGGTAAAACTATAGTGAAGGCATTGGCAGGGGGTAAAAGTTGAGCATCACTGTCACTTCTTCCTAATAAGCAGGGCAGCTAATACATATCTTGCTTCCTTGTGGCTAATTCAAAATAGGAGAAAAAAAATTCTGGGCAGAAAGAATAAGAATGTGTAAAAAGCAGTATTTTGTAAACATACCAACTTTTTCAGATGTTTCCTCCTCAGGAAATTTCTGGTTTTCAAGATTTAATATCTTCAGAGAAATAAAACTTGGCAAAATGGCAACTACAAAAGGGAAAATAAAAATTCAGTTATGTCAGCTACATCTCTTACAGCAAAGAGGATCTTTAAAATGAAGAAACTAGAAATCAATGTAATAATTCAAATTGAATTCATAAGTAGATGAAACAAATCTTTCCTCAGAAAATAATTCTGATAACTAGAAATGTAGTTAAAATTCTAGAAATTTCAAATCCAATTGAGCTTAAAGGTAAAAAATAAAATTCTAGAAAGTGTTATTTGAGAAATAATTTTCCTTTTTTTTTTTTTTTTTAAGAGACAAGGTCTCTCACCCAGGCTGGAGTGCAGTGTTCCCCTCCCTGTGTCCATGTTTTCTCATTGTTCAACACCCACTTATGAGTGAGAACATGTGGTGTTTGGTTTTCTGTTCTTTTGTCAGTTTGCTGAGAATGATAGTTCCCAGCTTCATCCATGTCCCTGCAAAGGACATGAACTCATCCTTTTTCATGGCTGCATAGTATTCAAGAGATCAAGACCATCCTGGCCAACATGGTGAAACCCCGGCTCTACTAAAAATACAAAAATTAGCCCGGCATGGTGGCGCATGCCTGTAGTCCCAGCTACTTGGGAGACTGAGGCAGGAGAAAGGCTTGAACCCAGGAGGTGGAGGTTCAAGCTTGCTGCAGCCTCAACCTTCTGGGCTCAAGTAATCTTTCTGCCTCAGCTTCTCTAGTAGCTGGCACTACAGATGCCACTGTGCCCAACTAATTTTTTTTTCTTTTAAAAATATGGAACACTTCACGAATTTGCATGTCATCCTTGTGCAGGGGCCATGCTAATCTTCTCTGTATCGTTCCAATTCTAGTATATGTGCTGCCGAAGCGAGCACCGAACTAATTTTTTTAAAGTTTTTGTAGAGATAGAAGGCTTGTTATGTTGCCTGGACTGGTCTCAAACCCCTGACCTCAAGCGAGTCTCCTGCCTCAGCCTCCCAAAGTGCTGGGAATACAGGCATGAGCCAGCCTCAAAATACAGCTCTTTTTTTTAAGAGTGCTTAATATGACTCTGTGTCCACAGAAACATCTTAAACCACAATTGTAATATTATAACTCTTACCAAATGGGACAGCTTTAAAAAAAGAATCAGAAAAAATTTCTGTGAGTTTCTTACAGGAAGCAAGTAAAGTCATGAGAGACTCAAATTCCAAAAAGAAGTTACGTTTCAGATGGAAAACATGAAGGTTTGGAGAATTTTGAATCAATTTTCCTGTAAAAGATCAAGAATTTTCAGAAATTAGAAAAGACTGCAAATTTCTATCAAAATTAGCCAAGTAGTTTATTACTTTGTTTCAATAATATTGAATTAAAACCAAGTACTATGATATCATGATCTAAGAATCAGGTCACTCTGGGCTTGGGTTCAGGCTCTGCAACTGTTTAACAAGTGATATGAATTTGGGCACATTGACCCTCTCTGGGTAACCATTTTCTCATCTATAAAATACAGGCATTGATTCAGTAACATCACCTTCAGCTTTAATATCTAATATCTCTAAGTTTGTAGATGATATTTGCACAATAAGAATACTGTATAAAGAGGCCATTACCGTGGCTCACACTTGTAATCCCAGCACTTTGGGAGGCCAAGACGGGTGGATAATCTAAGCTTAGGAGTTCAAGACCACCCTGAAAACCTGTCTCTACTAAAAATACAAATATTAGTCAAGTGTGGGTGGCAGGCGCTTGTAATCCCAGCTACTCGGGAGGCCAAGGTAAGAGAATTGCTCGAACCCAGGAGGAAGAGGTTGCAGTAAGC